TTAAAGCTGTTTATACCCCTACCCTCACGTTAGTCGTGGGTATTGTATATAGACCGAATACAAGAAACAGAACGGAGGTTCTTAAAGGGTTTTTATATTATTAAATAGGAAATACTAGGGTGAATTTCCTAGCGGAGCCTCATGAAGGACGATCAACCACAGGCCAGTGATAACCTGAATCGATTACACTGAGCACTTGGCATTGTCGTGCTTTGGTTGCTTCATGGAGTTTGCAAAGCACCGGCACCACTGGAAGATAACCTCATAAAGCTGCTGTTCTCCCATCTGCATAGTGTACTTTTTAAATGGAGTAAAAATGGATGGTATGCTGGATAAAAAAGGCATGAATCGTAAGTAGACAGTCACAGCCGGTTTGCTAAATGATATGTACTAGAATCAACATAACGTCGTAAAAGTTACAGTACCGTAAGAATATTACAAAACGTAAAGGCTGTTAGCGCTGTTTGATTGGTTTGGCTTCGATGGCATGTGTGCATAGAGAGATTTCAGGAGAATGGATCAAGAAGGGAGCAATAGTGATCGACTGCGGCATCAATCCATCGCCAACGGGGGATAAGAAAATCGTGGGCGACGTGGATTTTGAGTCGACCAAAGAGAAGGCATCATTCATAACACCGGTGCCAGGCGGCGTCGGACCGATGACGGTTGCCATGCTGATGCAGAATACGTTGGATCAAGCGAAGAAACTGTGCATTCGGTCTAACTCCTGGTCGCTGAGCACGCAGAGCCTGCGATTGCAGACACCCGTTCCGTCGGACATCGAAATATCGCGCTCACAGTACCCGTTGTTCATTTGCGATCTTGCCGAGGCTGTTGGCCTCACGAAGTCTGAGGTGGAGTTGTACGGAAGAACGAAAGCTAAGGTAAGCAAATCGTCATTGCTAGCTTCTACATATCCTCATGCACGACTTCATATTACAGATCTCTCTTTCGGTCTTGGAGCGCCTGCAACACGTGCAGAACGGCTTCTACGTGGTCGTCACAGGAATCACGCCGACTCCGCTAGGCGAAGGCAAGAGCACCACGTTACTGGGCATTGCACAAGCGTTGGGCGCCTACTTGCACCGTAACGCCTTCGCCTGCGTTCGCCAACCGTCGCAAGGGCCCACGTTCGGTATCAAAGGAGGCGCTGCTGGAGGAGGCTATGCACAAGTATGTGCGTCCTCTAGATTTACACCAGGCATTTCAGGTGGATCCCATTTTTCATTTCCCATACCCGTTTATTAATGAATGACTGTAACTGGTGAGTAATATTTTGAAAAGGCATTTTTCGCAGTGCCTGAGAAATTATCCCACCTTTTTGTATGGCTCCATACAGTATCAGCATGGGGTTCGATTGGATTAGATTTAGAGGTTGAGGGGGAATATTCTTTCTCTGGCTTCAGGGTATGCCTGTTTAGTGCACTCCGTGGCAGTATGCAAAATTTCTTGATAAGGTGCACCACATTAGCAACCTGGAAATTCTTTAACCTTCTACTTGTG